AGCTATTCATTTTAGGTTAGGAGAGTGCTTTCCCCTGTGATCAGAGGCTTAAGCACGGAATGAACCGAGTTGTTATTTATTAAACAACCCGCCTTTGTTTAACAGATCAACCTGTTAATGGTGAGAAGCAAAAGAAACGCTGACTAGTAGTAACAAAGTGAGTTAACTTTGCGAACTCGTGGGACGTTTTCCCATCCATACCTCACGGTCGTCCACATATGCATATATATATATACACATATGGGTACTTACGGGCCGCAGATGAGAGGGAGTTGAAATCCATGCAGGCGTGCGGTGCATCAGCCCCTGCACCACCCCTGGGTCATATACATGCTCCTTTCGTTATATGCGTATATAAACACGTGTGCGTGCGTGCTATGGTGTATACATGTATGACTGTATATGCAGAGCCGTGCGCGGTATTAGCCCCCTTTTTTACGACGTCGTGCCGCGCGTTCTTTATTGTGTTTATGTATATACATGTAACTACGTATACATTTATGTGTATAAATGTATATGTGAGCGGGGAAAAAGCATCAGGAGTATATAAGTACACGCAGAGGGTCAGAGACGCGAGTGACTGCTGCATCGGCGAACCGGCATCAACGGCGCGCTTACGATCTTATACTTGATTAACGGTCTCGTTACTTTACTCTCTCTCTCACTCTCTACTTTTATTCCTACTGCTTTCCCTCTCTCTCGTCGAGATTTCCTCGTCCACGCACGATTATATTTACGACGCACACGCTTTATACGTGCTGCGTACGTGTTTTTTTTTTCTTCTCTTTTCTTCCTCCTTTCCTTTCTTTTTTATGCGTATACATATTTTTCCTCTTATTTTTCCCCGAGCTCGTTTCTTTTTATACTTATTTCCTCTTTACGCCCCCCCCCCACCCACCCATTCGTATACACACGCAACCAGAAGCGCGTTTAGGACAGGGACAGAGAGAGAGGGAGTAGAACATAATACTGCCTTCCCTGGTTATGGTCCTCCTTTTTCTTGGAGTCGCGATAACGGAGAAAGTATAGATATATATATACGTACACACCGTAGCGGATCGGGCGGGCCCCGCAGGGGTAAGAAGAGAGAGAGAGATTGTTATTATCATCCCAGCTGTGTATACATGTATACGTGATGGCCGTAGAGTCATAAAAGTTTATGGTGCGTTTGCATCGACCTTTCTCAGCGCGGCCCCCCTTTCTCTCGAATGCCGGGTCCAACGGTAGCAGCAGCCCTTCCATGGATATAATATTCCCATGGCAACGCTCTCTCTCTCTCTGTGTGTGTGTGTGTGTACAATAAGTACCGGGGTGCACTCGCGAGAAAATGAAAGGAGACACAACCCCCCTCCTCCACTTATACATACATACATACATACATACATATATATATATATATATATGTGTGTGTGCGTGTGTGTGTGTGTGTGTGTAGGTGCACGTGATGTCTTTTGATTCTTCCATCCCAAAAGAGCGCGGGAGGGTAGGAGGGAGGAAGTTGTATGTACAACAGAGGCATCGAAAAAATCAGAGCCATTAAGGAGCGGTTTGGGGGTAGGGGGAGGGAGCTATATAAACTTACGAGTTCTCATCGGCTGGCCGCACACTGCGCCCACTCGCCCGAATCAGAGTAGGTATATATAATTATATACACGGAGCGATAAATTGAGTTACGCAAGGGGGTGCTGATGGAAACGTCAAGATTACCGTGATACACACACAGAGCAGCCCCCACCCACCCCCCTTGTCGTAGTCGTAGTCGACGGTTAGGGGGGGGGAGACCCATTATTCCGACTCGTCAGCGATTCGTCACTACCAATCGGCGAGTGTTTGAGCAGATATAGAGAGAGCAGAAAAAAAAAAAAAAAAAGTACATACAACGTATCGGAGCGACCTTGAGCATGACTGGCTCAGATTCGCCCCACCACCCCTACGAGCGCCTCGGGTCTTTAGTCGAAAGGAAAAAAAAGAGATTTAGTTGATTGATTTATAAGTATATCCGAGACAGATGAGACGCTTGATAAGAAGAGAGGGGTTGGTTTATCGAGGGGGGGGGGCAACGGGTGCCCATATCCCTTTGATACAGCCCAACAAACGAACGACTCGGTAACTCTACACTGCGACGGTGATGGGGGGGTAGATGACTTTCTCGCTTTATTATGTCGTTTAAGGGTATACACACATACATACATACAGTCACAGGGTGGTGGATGGGATATGGTTAGAAGAGTTTGGAGGGGGGGAGGGGGTAGTCAAGGGGATTATTTGAGGATTGGAAAAAGGCGCGAGTCCGCATCAATGACGACCCTTTAATGTATATAATACGTTTGAGGTTCGCTCATCTGCTCCCTCCGCAGCAACGGGTGAAAATACCCGAGTATAATGGATAGGAGTAGCAGGGGGCGGGGGGGGGGGTGGGATGATAATGCGTGCAAAAACGCGCGAAAATGGCCGGGCTAACGCGACGAGGGAAATAAAGCATAAGAGTGTAACACATGTAGGAGGCATCACGAGGGGTACGGTGTGTACGAAAGAAGATGACGAGGTATGAATAATAATAAGAACAATGACGGCGACACACAATATACGTATATAATATATACGTGCATGTATGACAAGTGCGATGTGTTTACCAGTGCGTATATGTGGGTGCGTAAGCCCGTGTAAACGTCACGACGGGCTGTTTGCAGTCAGTGCAGTGCCACTGTACATGTTGTACCGGCGGCGGCACTTCCTTTGATCTTTAAGCGCCCGCGAAGCTTTTTACTCGCTCACTCGCTCGAGAGAGAGCTTCTGTATATGTGCGATCGCGCTTCCTTTTGCCAGTGGACCTCTCTTACTTAAGCCCTACGTGCCACTTTATATTCGCGCCCTCCCCAGCCCTCTCTCTGCCACGTATACCTAACAACACTACCGCAGTTGTACAACGATGCACGGGGCGTGTGTGTGCTCTACTTATCCGAGGTGTACCTGATACATATGCCTTGTTGCATGTGTATATATATATGTACAATACCCTACCCTACGCAGAGCGAGGGGGTGGGTGTATGTACACACAAATAAGTATAAATATATACATATACACGAGATCTCCGTCTTTTAACGCGTGCACAAACAAAGTGGTCCAGCAATACACCTCTCGTCCCCCTTTTGCGGACGCGAAAATCTTGCCTTGTACGTTGCATATATGTTGTGCACAAAGACACCCGAGCACCGGAGTTAGGTATATGCCTACTGCGTTTGGATGCGATGGCATCTTTTTTTTTTTTTTTGTCACTTGTACATATACAAAGGCCTCCCCATTTTTTGTGGCTCATCTTTTATTTTATTAATTCATTTTTTTTTTTTTCGTCCACGACACTTTGTTATCTGTACTGGGTGGTTGTCTCTGGTTGATCCAACGAAGCGTGTACTCATGCGTATATCATACCTATATGAGAAACTTACGTTTGTACTGTCATTATCATGCAGGTTTTAATTAAATTGAAAATCAAACGAATTAAGAACGTTAAACAGTATAGAAACACAAAAGGCGACAATCACGGTGGTATACGTATGAAATGATGACAAGCCATTAATTAACGGAGCTGCGAAAATGAAGGAGGGCACAATTGGTCCGTTCATTTGGATCGAGCCCGAGAGTCTCATGCCTCGCGAGATAAAACAAAACAGTCGAATAATAATCAAGCAGGAAGAGAGGGGGGGATCCCCCGAGGCCGAGTTTAAAAAATAAAAAGATACGTATATACACTTACGCATTATATTATCATCTCAAATGGTTTTTTTTTTTTTTTTTTTTTTAACTCTGTATCTCTCGCTCACGCACGCATTGTATGACTCTCTCCTGAGTAGTTTCGACTTTTGTTAGTATGCATATATTATATACATGTATATGTATACATATGCGGTAATGAAAAGGCTGCAAACGAGAGCCATTATTGTCTCTGCGCCTCTTATATTATCAGCATATACACTCTCGCGCGCGATCTATCGCTCGCGGGTGCTCATATTACCATCCACGAGAAGTTTAATTAGCCGGGGCGCATTATTCTACCCTTCCTCTCTTTCTCTCGGGTAATTTTGTATGGATGCGCTGTCGCAACGATGGGTTATTGTGCGGTGTCTGAGACCGAGGATGGAAAGCGTCGAAAAGCCGATACATGCCCTTTGGGGACACGCACGCGCGTAGGCACTTGCAATAAACCACGAGATAATACTTACTCTTCTTTTGGTAATCTCTGAACCGTACAAATGCGAGATGCACTTGATTGCCCTGCCAAAGGGGCGGGCGGAGATGTATACCGATATATTATACCTTCGATCGCCCCTTTTTTTTTTTCTCTCTATCTTATCTTGCTCCCCAGCATCCGCTCGTGGGTACCGCGGTCGTTCAATTTTCGTGGGGTTATTAAAAGGAAGCGATGCCTATCGCTCGAGGGGCCTTTCTGCGTCTGTAACACGTGACGTGTCTCCTCCCCCAACTGTATATGGTACTCGCGTACGAGCATCTCTCTGGATCCCGTGGCCGTAAAGCATTGAACTCGAATTTTTCTCTCTCCTGCACGTGTGGGGAGGTTGCTCGTGAAGTTTTTTACTCGATAATCGTGCTCATCGACACCTAAGGTATAGGGTATATATACCCCCCCTTGGAGCGATCAAACGGTCCCACGTTTCCGGTTACATTGAAGAAGAAAAAAAAATTTCTCGAATGATTGAATCGTTAAAGCGTGAGAGGAGCGCACAAGTCAAATACGAGGAAATCGAGCGCGCGCGTTTCAATATAAATGTAAATTATTTACGCGCTTTTACGAGCCTCCGCGTAACATTGCGTTGGAATGCGGGCGTGCGTCGTCAAGTCGAGCCAGACAGCGGAGAAATTGAAAAAGACATCCCCGACACCTCCTCTCTTCTTTTTTCTCCTTTCGCATCCATCCTTGGGCTATACTTATATACCTGCATAACTCGGGCGCATGTGAGTATACATAGCCGCTCAATTGCAGGGATCAGCGAGGCGAGCGTGCAGCTGCAGCAGCCCAAACCGACCCCGCTCATCCAGCCGGGGGGCAAGGTCGAGCTGAGGTGTCAGGTCGACGGCTCCGGTGAGCTCAAGTACGAGTGGTTCAGGTAAGTGGTTCGGTAGTCGCGTTTGGGAGAACCCAATGGGAATTTTATGTAAATTCGACGGGTCGCAGGAACACCAAGAGGATAGTGCCGAGCGACAGGGTGAAGCTGAAGCACCACCAGCTGGTGATAAACGAGGCCAGTCCGGAGGACAACGGGGTGTACCGGTGCATGGGGCGCAACGCGGCGGGGGCGTCCCCTATGGCCCATAGTTTTCCCCTGGTGGTGCCGAGCAACGAGACGGCGACCATCCGGGTGGTGCCGCAAAAAACGATAGTCCGCCGGGGCGAGACGGCCAGCTTTGGCTGCGCCTACGACAACGCCGACGCCATCCAGTGGTTCCACGAGGACAGGGGCCCCCTCGAGTCGGACGACGAGAGGACCATACTCGACAACGGCACCCTCCTCGTCGTACAGCCCGAGGACCGGGACCGGGGCTTCTACTCGTGCCACGGCATCAAGGGCGACACCGTCCAGAGCTACGCCGCCGAGCTGCAGATCGCTTGTGAGTTTTCTTTTGCCCCTTTATACATATATACGTTTCAAATGTCGCGTCTCCATCGCTAAAAGTTGCACCCATGCGTCCTAAAAGACATAAAGAACCTGTCCGTGGCGTCTTTCGAGCCGGCGTTGCCGGACCAGGTGGCGGTGGTGGGCGAGAACCAGGAGTTGCAGGTGAGCTGCCTCGCCCCGGCGGGACTGCCGCCACCAAAGTTGTACTGGAGGGATCCCCAGGGGCGTATAATCAGCGACGCCGGGCCGGTGCGCGTGCAGGATGGCACGCTGATCGTGGCGAAGGCGCGCCGACCGGCGGATCAGGGCAACTACACCTGCGTCGCGGAGAACTTGGCGGGAACGACGCGCATGGCAGTTCAGGTCGTCGTCTCGTGTGAGTATACGTGTCATTAAATTTTTCATCTTCGTTTGGTTTGTAACAATCATGCAACGACCATAGGAGTCCCAAATTTTTTTTTCGTGTTCACGATACGTTCATACCCCTGATTCTTCTCATTTCTTGCAATACATTTTACAATTGTACGATTACGCTTTTGAAATAGTACTAGCTGAACATAATATTTTTCTTCGCACCCCCCGCACCCCCTTTACATAACATAAAGTGATTTTTATACAGTTGAGTCATGTGTATAGGTATACCATATTTATCATCATCACTAATAATTTCGAAACTAAAAAATTATTTAACAAATTGTAGATGTTCTCAGAGATTCCGTCAATTGATAACCGTGTGAAAATTGTTTCGAAAACAGCATAGTTATATATATATATATATATATTACTATACGTTTGTAAACTAAGTGAACTATTTCGATTGCCAAACGTGCGCGTAAAAAAATACACGTACGCTCCATGTTGCAATCACGCGTATATTTTATTTGTTTGTTCGAGCCGTTGTCCAACCAGTTTTCATTTCATTTTCCCCCTTGGAAAGAGGAATTCACAAAACGCCACTATATAGTAGTACAGGTGCCCAACCTCGTATCCTCCCTCCACCTCATACAGTGGCGTTCGCAAACATACGCGTATTTATTTGCCCGCTCGCGTTATATTCCAAAGCCGGACGACTCTCCAGGTATACAACATTTTTTTTTTTTTTCCCCGCGACCTACCTCTGCACGGTAAACAGCCACTCCGTATTACAAACTCGCCACACGCGATCGCGCACATGTAATACATGTGGGTACACACAACATACGCGCAAACACTCGTCCAGGGGCCTTAAAAATTCCATCGCCCACCCCACGGCCATACTACGTATATATATATTCCCTCGCATTTCAATCGCAACGCGGGTAAATAAACTCCCTCCCGTATACACATGCACACAGAGAGAGAGAGAGAGAGTGTGTGTGTGTGTGTGTCCATTTGCCGGAGGGTTGAATAATTATAGCGTCTCCGTGCGTGTGTTACATTCAGACCCGGCCAAGCTCGTGAGCCCGCCCCGTTCGGTGGTCGCGATGGAGGACCAGCCGGCGCAACTGAGCTGCTCGTACAGAGGAATGGAGCCGCCTATCAGCCAGACCAGGTGGCTCAAGGACGGCGAGCTCCTCAGGGAGACCGGGGCCGGGGGACCCGCGCGGTACAGGCTGCACGAACAGCCCGGCAACGCCACCCTCGTATTCAAGAACGTTCAGCTCAGCGACGCCGGGAATTACGCGTGCGAGGTAATCACCAGGGGACAACCGCCTCTGAGGTCGCAGCCCGCCAATCTGAGCGTCAGGGAGACACTCAAGTTCACCCCCAAGCCCGTCGACAAGCGCTTCGAGCTCAACTCCAATACCAAGGTGCTTTTTTTTTTTTTTTTTTTTTTTCGTTGCACATGGAAATTTAAATACGTATGTGTAATGCGTTGTGTGTTCGTAGGTGTCGTGCAAGGCCCAGGGTTCGAGTCCATTGAGCTTCAAATGGCACAAAAACGGCACCGATCACTTTCCCAAACACGTGCACGAGGCCAACGGCACGCTGCACTTCAACGGCGTGCAGGAGGTCGACAAGGGCTACTACACTTGCGTGGCGTCCTCGAATCAGGGCCAAATCAACCATACCATCAAAATCGACGTGTTCAGTGAGTATATTAATGAAAAATGCCCAAAAAAAAAAAAAAAAACAAGAGAGGTATCGGATATTGTATCCTCTTGTTCGCACGCTTCGGCAGTTGCGCCCAAATTTACCGTGAGGCCGGAAAATTTGACGGCGAACGAGGGCTCGGCGGTCATGCTGCACTGCGCCGCCGAGGGGGACCCCAAGCCCGCTATTCACTGGGACAAGGACTCGCGCATGAACAACTTGAACGGGGATAGATTCGTGCTCGTCGACAACGGCAGCCTCTTCATCAAGGAGGTTTACCTAACCGACGAGGGCAAGTACGGGTGCACGGCCGGGAACAGCGGTGGCTTCAAGCGCACCGAGATGCACCTCACCGTCAGAGGTATACATATATACATATAACTGGTTTGTTTCTTTCTGGTTGCACAGGTATACATATATAGGTAATACCAATAAATGCAAAGTGACGTTTCAACGCCCATCACCTTATACACATGTAAATACACGTTGTTATTGTACCCCTCTGCCGTGTATTTTCACGCTAAATTGATTCGGGCTTTTGAATCGCCTGCCCCCCCCCCCCCTTTTCTCCACGAGTTCGGGCTTTCCTCTTTGCATTGTGTTTCAAATGCTATTATATGCACCCCTCGTTGGCTCCCTCATCCATCATCAATAATTCATTACAAGTGTAGGGCAAAGTTACAACGCGTTTTCTGTATTTCTTTCCTCAGCTGTGGAGGGATACCGCTCGGACATGGAGCTCGACATAACGGACGACGGCTCGATGATGACCAAGACGGTGATAATAACTCTCGGGGTGGCCACCGCGTACATGATGCTCGTGATCGGGCTGATGCTCTACTGCCGCTACCGGAGGCGCCGGAGGAAGCAACGAGACCTGCAGGAACAAGTCGATGGACAGGGTAAGTGTGTGTATACATTATTTGCTCGATCAAGCGAGCGCAGCTCAAAAAAAATTGTATCCCTGCGTTGGGCAGAAAAAGGCGAGACCGGTGAGGTACAGGAGGAACAGTGCGAGCTGCGCGAGACGAGCGGCGTCAAGCTGCAGGCCAACAGCACGTCGAGCGGCGGCAAGAGGCGTGAGAACCGGGAGTCGCACAGGAGCGACGGTACCGACACGGCCTACAGCCAGGCCAGCAATCACTCGAAGCGCTCAAAGTCGAGCTACGACAAGCTAGCGATCAGCCGGTCCCAACTGGCGGAACTCAAGCCGCTCGGCAGGGGCGAGTTTGGCGAGATCTTCTCTACCAAGTTCTTGCACCGGCCGGCCAACGACGACGAGTCGTCGAGCTCCTCCGGCAGCAGGGAGATCATCGTCATGGTCAAGACTCTGAACAATACCAAGGACGAGAGCATCCTGCAGGAGTTTAAGCGCCACCTCGACTTGCTGTACAAGCTCAATCACGAGAACATCACGAGACTGGTCGGACTGTGCCGGGACGAGGAGCCCGACTACATGGTCATCGAGTACACCGACTGGGGTGACCTCAAGCAGTTTTTGCTCGCCTCAAAGTCCACGAAGGAGCTCACCGAGGCTGGAAAGCCGCGGGCGCCCCAGCTCACCGTCGCCCAGATTGTTTCCCTGGCCAATCAGGTACGCATTTTTTACTTTGTTACGTTACGTCACGTTGTATGAGGAAAAAAAAAAATGCAATGTCTCTTGAAATGGTCCAGGCCGCTCGAGGACTGAAGCACATATCGGACCATCGGCTGGTGCATAAGGACGTGGCCGCGCGTAATTGCCTGATCTCGAGCAACCTCAACCTCAAGCTGTCGCTGTCGTGCATGTCGAAGGAGCCGTTCCAGCAGGAGTACACGAGACACAAGAACCAAGTGATACCGCTCAGGTGGATGCCGAAGGAGGCGGTCTTCGAGGACGAGTACTCGAGCAAGAGCGACGTCTACTCGTACGCGTGCCTCGTCTGGGAGATCTTTCACCAGGGAGAGCTGCCCTTCAAGAAACTCAACGACGACGCGGTCCTCGCCCAGATCAAGAGCCAGACGCTCAGCTGGACGGCCCACAAGGCGGCACCCACCGCCATGCAGGAGCTACAGACCGAGTGCTGGTCCTACGATCCGAGAGAGAGGCCGACCTTCGACCAGGTGGTCGCCAAGCTGCAGGACATCGTCGTCGACTGCTCCCAGGTCTGAGCGTGCCGACCCTGTTCGATTTTTCCGTGGATGCTGCTGCTTCGCTGTCCCACTTGGTATATTTACACCCTGATTGCTACACATCTTGATAATAACGGTGTAGCCACCGTCGAGGCGGATGATGATTTTTTTTCCCTTTTTTTTAACGCCTTGTGTATATTGGCTACGGCGACGGCGAATTTTAATTACTTTAATGTGCAAAAGGTACCCCCGACGTTTGACTATCATGAATCGGTGTGGAAAGTTGATTTTGTACGGGCGACCAATCGAGGCGGAGTAAACATATTTTTGTATTTAAACAAAAAAAAAAGTTGAGTCGAATGTAGATGACGTTGCGAAATGCATTGTGTTTTAAAACACCACTCGCAACTGGTTGACTTGTCGGGGTCCCAAAAAGTCCTTGCAACGTTCGCTTTCTAAAGTAACAAAAAAAAAAATCGTGGACCCAACATTTCCCTGTCTAACGCTGTGATCACATGTAGCATTTACAAACAAGAATGAAAGTACAAGGTCCCGACCTTTCGGATAGAGATGAGAGAGACAGATAAACAGCAGCCGCAGCCCAGCGTTACTCGCGCCACGTCTATACGTAATATACGTGCATGCGGTACCTATACTCGATGTACCGCGTCCATTAGCAAAATAAACACTCGCGTGCAGTCATTGATCAAAGCTTCAATCTCTCCCGCAAAAGCTTCGACCAACCCATGCATATATAGAAACTAGTGTGTGGGTGTGTACGCATTCACGCACTTTCCGGGTGTGCATTGATAGCATGTGAATCATTGATACCCGCGAAACATTGACGTAACGTGTTGTACAAAAATCATGCTGCCAAATTAATTAAAGTGTAACGACAAATATTCGCGATAAAAAAAATTTGATGAGCTGCCACGTGTAACAAATAATACGTGACTGCGTATCATCATAACCGGAAGTGGTAAAAAACACACGACCGACCAACGAAGCTTTCGATAAATATATATTTGTATTTTGATATATGACAATATTATGTCCGAGCATTATGTAATATATTATTATTATTATTATTATACATACAGAGGATNTAAAGGCTCCGTGATTTTGCATCAGAGCCACATTTTCATTCAAAAGTTCAAACAAAAAGCGGGACACCACATTTTAGGGTAAAAAAAAAAAAAAAAAAAAAAAAAAAAAAAAAAAAAAAAAGTTGATATTATGCCATTATTATGTCCGAGCATTATGTAATATATTATTATTATTATTATTATACATACAGAGGATGAAAATATTAAAAAATATACGTCAACACATCAAACAACAGGAACAGGACTCTGCGGGTTCATTGAACTTTTGCGATCCGGGTTCAGCATATACTTACTTGACAATGTACGAAATAAACCCCGCGTACACGTAATGATCTGCATACAATCATATTGATCGATAAAAAGTAGTTTTTGATACCGCGACAAGAGGAGAGTAATTAGATATACATACATGTAGGTATTTAATGAAGTACAAGTACAATATTGGCCGAAGACAAAGTAAGACGAAGAGCGTTGTGAGTATGAGTAATAAATATAAATATATATATACGTAAGAATTTTAATAATAATGCAAGTACATGCTTATTTCGTTTTGAAGCAACGAAACTCGATAATATATATGTATATCATAAGAGATGATGACTTTAATTTTTGCATTTAAGCGAGTAAATTGTATAAATACGTACTTGCGCGTATAATGTGCTCTAGTTGTGTCGAGGACAAAAGTACCCCAGTTTTGTACACACGTATGATATTAGATTGTAAAGTAGATCTCCTCACTCCCCCGGATCCTGTCGAATGTATGGGCCCCATAAAAATCTGGTGGCTGGATATCGTTGAGTACACACACGCGTGGATGCAAGGAGCAAAAGTAAAACAAAACTCAAGGCCTTAGATGAAATAATGAAATGAAATTCACAGCGCAATCTCTTGCTATGTATACAAGCTGCACGATTGCACGTTGGTCTTATATATATATATCGTCCCTCTCCCCCGCGCACGTCACGAAATTGGCAAGGCCGACCGAGATTATTATTTTTCCCTTTTCCTCGCAATGCATGTGAATGTTTTTTCTTTTTTTATATTTATCTCTAGTCAACGGCAACTGATATACTTATGCTAATGTGTACACGTATAGACTTTCATGTACGTACGGCCGAAAAAAAAAATTACAGCAGCTCTCTTCGAGAGCGTCACTCGCTTCCATGCCACTTTTCACAAAGAGCTAAGACTGCAGCAAGAGGATGATGCTTTTTTTTTTTTTATTCTTATCGAATAACTTGTAAATATACATTATATTGTAAAATCTCTGTAATGACTTTTATTTTCCATCACATAGTGTAACGCTACATAGCGAGAAGAGGCAACAAAATTGTGCGCGTGTGCCGGTAGATTTTAATTTTCATTTGTCATCTAGTTTAAGACGGTAGGCCATAAGAATAAACAAGTGAAAGTACACTTGTTAATGATTAAATAAATAAATGAACAATAAAAAAGAAAAACAAAAGCATCGATTCGTGTCAATTGACCAATTATCCTCGTATAGTGAATAGATTACGTTCGAAGGTACACGAAATGCGACCGAGAAGCCATCAATCTCAAACAAAAGCGTAACGAAAGGGCAGAGGCAGCTTTCCTCGTATTACATCCTGCATTCAACGACATATAGAAAAAAAAAAAAAAAAAAAAAAAGGAAAGGAAAGGCACACCATTGTGCATTAAAACACGAAGAATAGCCCAAGGGGGAGAAGGAAAAAAAAAAAAGTTACGGCTGCCGATATTTATTGCGCAACGACGACTTCCAAGTGCTCCAGGTGGCAAAGGGGACNAAAAAAAAAAAAAAAAAAAAAAAAAAAAAAAAAAAAAAGGAAAGGAAAAAAAGCAACAAAAGAACCGGGGAAATTGAGGTAAAAAAAAAAAAAAAAAAAAGGAAAGGAAAGGCACACCATTGTGCATTAAAACACGAAGAATAGCCCAAGGGGGAGAAGGAAAAAAAAAAAAGTTACGGCTGCCGATATTTATTGCGCAACGACGACTTCCAAGTGCTCCAGGTGGCAAAGGGGACAGCTCATCGATTGAAAAAGTAATATATCTACCCTTTTCTTTTTTCTTCTTTTTTTTAATCAAACAAAAAATATGTAAAAGAGTGACTGTCGACAACAACGACGCGTCTCGAGTGCGCCTTTTTCGGGAGGGAAGAAAAGAAAAGAAAAAAGGGTGTCCCGTACAGTAAAAAATTCACAGGAGCCGTTATCCGGGGGGGAAAAAAAAAAATTGATATCTCGTATGAAGGCATATAATCCGTACGCGAGCACATATTAAATCCGCACAGACGGCGCAGCTTTCCAGTCAAGGACGTTCGCACGGGAGAAAGAAAATTGCACGCGGATAGCGCGCACATCGAGAGAAAAAGGAGTGGCGGTAAAGTTGTGCACGTACACATGCACATGGCGAGCAAAAGCGAGTAGAGAGACGTGCAGCGGTGCAGCGAAAGTATTAGAAGTTCGCCCGAGTGGGGTTTGCATGTATACAGGTATATAATATGAGACACTGCAATAAGAGACACTCGGCGAGAGTGCACAAGTCTAAACTTTCGTTCCGTTGCGTAACACTTGTTATTCTCTTTCTCCCTCCGTTGCCGCAGCGCGACCCGGAATCATTCTAATTTTCGATCGAACGAAAAATCCCTTCGTCTGGGACTGCCATTACACGCGGGTGTACCGTGCCATTATGCGCCGATGTTCTTCGTGGAGATGCTTCTGCGATTACGTGATTATCCCATCGGAGTTTTGCTGCGCCACGGCAATAATTGTGGGATCACGGATGGGGGGGGGGGGGGGTTGAAAAATCTCAAATACGTGTACTTTTTTTTTTTTTTTTTTTTTCTTCAAAAAAATGCATTTATACATTATTTATTTTAACTTTCTAGTATGTACATTTACGCACTCTCGGGCCCACGTGGACCTCGTCTTATAATCGACGCAAGCGACCCTCTTTCTCAGCTCCGTGTGAACCCACGTATAAAAAATTCATGTATAAGTATGTGCGTGTCTATAAAAAAAAAAAAGTTACTCTTCTGCTTTTTTTATCTAGATCTCGTTGAAATTGCAGCATCGTTGATATTCGTTGGATGAGGATCGAACATCACATATATTTACAAATTACGCATGAAAAACAAAAAGAGGAAGCGATGACGTGTAAAAAGTGCTCTCTGTCTCTTTTTGTTTTCTCGCGTTCGAGTCGTTATATACTTGCGTGAGATTACATTAAAACAAAAAAAATTAAACTCGGATATTAGGAAATGGCTAACTAGGTGGAGTTGAAAAAAAATGTATGTATATAATATGCTCAAGGACGCGTATTCGAATACATATAAAATTGCACTATGGGCCGTGTAAATAATATCATATGTATTTAAATACAAGTATACAAATGTGATTGTCGTGTGTGTATCGTGTTTCCCGCCGTAAGCTTGATTCGTCTTTGGGTGTAATTTACATGGTAATTTTTTGTTCAAAAAAAAAAAAATAAATTAATAAAAACCCTCGAGGATCTTACTGTGGAGTTTACGTCGCGTTGCAAGGGCTCTTGGTAACTTTGGAGTCAAACTCTGTTTTCACCCCCAAACAGAGCGTTCAAAAGCATTGCAGCGCGACGTAAAGGCTCCGTGATTTTGCATCAGAGCCACATTTTCATTCAAAAGTTCAAACAAAAAGCGGGACACCACATTTTAGGGTAAAAAAAAAAAAAAAAAAAAAAAAAAAAAAAAAAAGTTGATATCCGTCCTTCCTTCCGAAAGCAAACTTATACAAGCCGGCGTGGCGCCCGATGGATGGTGTAAAAAAACGAAACACGCGCCAACGCTAAAGACGCAACGATAAGTATACTCGCGAATACATAGGAAAAAAAAAAAAAAAACTCCGCGGGTCGTGTTTACGGCGAACCAACGAGAAAAAGGGCCGAGCTGCGCGCGGAAGGAGAGACGAAGAATAATGACAACATTGATAACATACACAAAGTAATAGGAGTAGTTGTGTGGGTAAAGATATAATTAATACGTATGTATGTATGGGTATACGAGTGTATACACGTAAAGCTGCGGAATACGTTGCAAAGTGACACATCATATTGGTAACATTGGAAATACGAGACAAAGCTGATCTGACTCGATTAGCCCCCATATCCCTCGGTCTCCACCACGACGTACACGTATATTATACATATATGAAATCGTTAGGTTGGAGGTGCTCGCGCTCAAGGGCCCGATTGGTGCTCAACCGGTACGAGCAAGGCGAGTTTCTCGCTCTCGATCTGCTGGTGGTACTGCTGGGGGTAGTGCTGCGGCCTGCCCGTGACCTCCTCGATACCCTGGTACTCGGGCTGCCTGAGCAACGGACGCTGAGGCTGCTGGGTCTTTCTGTAGTAGCCCGCGTCGACGAGGAAGGTCACCTGCTGCTCCTCGGGCTTGCCCGCGGGCTCCCGGCGCAACAACTGCGGCTCGATCTCTTCCAAGAGTATATGCTTGATGGGCTGCTGGGGCTTCTTCAGGCGCTTCTCTTGAGCCGCCTGGGCTCGGAGGGCCTCTGCCGCCTTGGGCAGGTACACCTGGGGACCAAGGATCAACCAATAAACCATCAGTGAGAAATTACAAATAAGGGGAGGGCGACGAGTGAAAACGAACCTCGGGTGCTGGCAGGGCGACCTTGTTGGGTAGCAAGTACTGGACCACGGGGGCGCTGTCGGGGTCGATCCTGCGGGCCTCGGCTTGGGCCCTGGCGGCCTGTTTGGCCTCCGTCTGGGCCTTGGCCAGGGACTGCTGGCGCGCCTTGTACAACGCCAGGGCCTGGGCGTTGGCCACCGCCTGGGCGTGGGCTTGGGCGCGCTGCTGGTTCTTCTCGAAGTTCAGGGCGTACTTGTGGGCCTCCTCTTGGGCCCTGAGGTGGGCCCGCTGCTGGGCCTGCAGTTTGAGGATCGCCTCGGCGTGGGCCTTGTACTCGGAGGCCTCCTGGGCGCGACGCTGCTCCGCCACCAGGGCCGTCGCTTGGGCCTTCAGGTGGGCCTTGTACGCGCCCTCCGGGTCCTTGGGTCTCACCTGCATTACACGCACTGTTATTTTAGATCCACGTACATAAATATACAGGTTCCGGTTATGAGCTATATTAATTGCGAAATTCAACTTGTTTCAGCTGAGGTGGTGCGAAATTGAAAAAAAAAAAAAAAAAAAAACTTAAAACTCCCGCACATTATACACGTGTTTCGTTGATATTATTTCCGGCAGCGCCTTTTAATCTCACCGGGGGAGGGTTCGACACTGATGCAGCTGAAATCGCTCGTGTCACGTAAGCGCGCGTTAAAACAAACTTCCATCGGTATAATAATTATACGGTGATAAGGAGCGAGGTTGCAGGCAGTATAGTATATACTACTACTTGGGCTCTTATTTATTTACTCACATACGACTACTTGATGTATACTATAAAGCTGGCGCGCTCACTTTCTCGTTTCGGAAAAATGTAAGTATATATGTACGAGTAATGTTCTACATGCGCCAGAAAAAGGTACAGTTGAGAGCTGAGTGCCGTTATGGTCCGTAATTTACGATCTTCAAGTTATACATGGTGCACGTGGTCATCGTCGTATTATGTTAATGTCGCCACGACGGGGAAAGAAAAACGAAAGAAAATAGTTACCTGCACCGACACTCGAAACTTGCACTCGGCTACTGTTCCCCGAATTCATCGTTTATTTATTTTTTTTTTTTTTTCATTTTTTATTGTCATCGCAGGTATGGGATGTATATACACACCCAAGTACCGTAATTTGGGTAATTTGGCGAGCTCGAAGGAAAAGGCTGATCAACGAAGCCTTACCCACTATGAATACATATATATTATATTAGCAGCGAGATTCTAGGAGAGCCGGATTATGACACTCGAAATTAAAATCCAGCGTAGCAGTAAGTAAGTAGCGGCAGTTCGTGAGATATTTTATTTTTACAGCAGCTCGCGAGCTGTAACGTACCTGTGGGTGCATTATAACTATTGCAAGTGCAAGTATGTATATACAGACACGGGTGCATTACCAGCGGTAGCTGTAAATTTCGATCTGACTGTGTACACCTACGGACATTATAATATCGCTTTGCCCATGGGGGGTTTCTGTTGTTGTTGCTCGTTACGTACACGTGACAGGGAAAATATGCTTAGCGGGGACAGGTATAACCGTTCGCTCCGATGATTGTAGAAAATTATCATCTCGAGAAATATTTACGGCATCGGCACGTGGAAAAATAAAGCGAGTGCGTATACGTTACGTATACGACGACAAATCCGTATCCGGGAATGTACAAGTAGATAATATGATACCACGCGCGCGCGTATTTTACATTGAGAGAGGTATGCAAGTGAGTATACGCTAAATTTTTTTTTTTTTCTCTCTCTCTCGAACGTAGCGGTAATTGAGTTGTTATACAGCGTACGTAAGAAATTTTATTCATACGTTAAGTGATTCTCGTAAAAGTAAACAGTAGATAAAAATTAAAGAAAGAAAAAAAAAGTCTCAAGCCGGTGAACAGTCATCAAGTAGGTACGTGGAGAAAAAAAAAAAAAAAAAAAAATTGCTCGCAAATGGGGAGTAGAAAAATCCCCTTTCGAAAAGTAAAACCCACGTCGACGCTTTTTCGGGCGAAAAAGTGCGCGCACTTGACGACCGTATAATACTTATATGCGCGTATGGGTATCACAACACACTTGACAAAAGTACAGGAAGGAGCGAAAAAAGTGTGCACGCTCGCGCATTGAAGGCAATTGATATGAAGATCGCAACGCACGGCATCAGCCACTTGAAGGGGGGGGAAAAAAAAAAAAAAAAAAAAAAAAAGGTACTTGGGGAGCCATTTTTTTCTTTTCTTTTCCCTACTCCATCTCGCGGGTCGTACATACTATATATATGTACTGTTGCGTGCACCACTCGACTCGCGCACATATCCGGCTTCTACCCTCCTAATTGGCCTCCCGGTCCGCGACACTTTAACCCACCCTCGAGGGTCTTCGTACGTCGCTCTCGGTCGAAAAAAAAAAAAAAAAAAACTCACGCGCTCCTGTCGACCAGCCTCGCTGACTGCCTCGCCCTGCCGGATCTGCTCGAGGGCGCTCTGCTGCCGGTACTTCTCGTTGGCGACGCGTATCTGCTCGAGGGCCGAGTCCTGGTGCTTCGTGTGGGCCGCCTGGGCTACCTTTTGGAAGGCCAGCGCCTGGGCCTCTGCCTGCGCCTGGGCCCGCACAATCGACTCGGGACTCTGCTGTTGCTCCCGGATCTGCTGTTCGTCCTCGTACCCGTACTGTATTGGGATGGCCTGGTGGTAGCGCAACTGCTGCTGTTGGGGCTGTGGGACCTCGACTTGATGCTGGGCCTGGGCTGGCTGCTGGTGATGGTGGACCGGGACCGGGGTCACGTGCTGCGGCTGGTGGTGGATCTGGGGCGTCACGGCCACCTGCTCCTCTACCGGGTAGTAGAGGTGCTGTGGTGGTGGTGGGGCTGGCTGTAGCGGCCTCCTAGGACTCGTCTCCACGTGGTACTGCTCTACCTCGAGCGGGATGGCTTGTGCCGGGTCGTACAGCTGTATAAGCACATTGAAGAAAGCAAAATATTAATTCGTTGTTTTTTTTTTTTTTTTTTTTTTTTTTTTTCTTCAAAAAAATGCATTTATACATTATTTATTTTAACTTTCTAGTATGTACATTTACGCACTCTCGGGCCCACGTGGACCTCGTCTTATAATCGACGCAAGCGACCCTCTTTCTCAGCTCCGTGTGAACCCACGTATNGGTATGGCTTGTGCCGGGTCGTACAGCTGTATAAGCACATTGAAGAAAGCAAAATATTAATTCGTTGTTTTTTTTTTTTTTTTTTTTTTTTTTTTTTTCATATCTCTTTGATAAAGGGTTTTTTTTATTACCTGGGGGTGCTTGTGGGCAACGGGTCTGTCGGCGAGGCGGGCCAACTCCTGCTCGATCAGTACGTTAAGCCGAGCTCTCGACGGGCCGGGCTGGGCTTGGTGGAGATGGAGGTGCTGGTGGTGCTGAGGCTGTTGCTGCTGTTGCTGTTGGTGCTCCAAGTATTGTTGCAGCAGTGCCAGGTACTCCGGGGCGAGCTGTGCAATTTTTTTTTTTTTTTTTTTTTTTTCAATCGTTTCGATGACTGTTATTTTTGCACCCATTACCGATTATAATGGTAATCGAGCCGGGGAGGGATTAACGGTGTTGTAAATCGTGTTAATCATACGCGTGACGAAACTTGCTTGTGGATTTTTGCAAAAATGTGTAAATATACTTGTTGCCATGGGCGGTGAACGGTGTGTGTTTTTGTGTTTCACAAACCAATATTTATTCGTTTACGTGAATATATACATAGGGAGAGTTGAGCAAGGAGAATTTTCGCATAATTTTAAAGAGAGCCCGAGCGCATTAAAATTCGAAAAAAATTAAATAAAAAATAATGGAAAAATATAGAAAATAAAAAGAAAAAAAAAACCAGGCGTCCTTGCAGATGTATATGGGAAAATTGAGAAATAGGCTGTATGGAAGTTGTACGAAATAACATGGGAAAATTTATATTGTGTGTTATTGAAACGGTATAACACAAACTAAACGTACTATGCATATGGAATTACATATACATATACAGGTACACAGAGCGCGGATTCTTTGATACACGGATGTTTTATTGTTGTCGAATGCCTTTCCATGGAAAAGCTCTTATCGACGCGTGTTCTACCCCCCTCCCCTATTTTAGTTGTTTTTTTTTTTGTGCAGCGTATAGGTATATGCTCCAATCACAATGTACGCTCCGACGTGATTTATTTTCCAGCAAAATCCGACTCTATTTTCCGCGATACAGATACATGTATACATATCCGAGAGAGCGCACGATACAATAGTTTGCAAAAAGGTTTCTCATCAGCAATCTATGTGTATAGGTATACATAAGTATGTGCCCACAGTGAAGGTTCAAGGCACGAAAAGTGCAAAAACAGCGATAATTCAGTCCGGAGCTAATTACGCGAATTAAGTAATACAAATTATGATAATGTTGGATTTATCGGGGTTTCTCTATCGCTACGGACATAGAGACGAAAACGGGGTGTGTGGAGGGGGGGGGGGAGTTTAACGGTGGCGCGCACAACCGGTAATTTTGAACACCGTAGAGGCTATACATTCATAGGTATACAACATCCATTCACCGATCTGATTTTTTTTTTTTTTTTATCTTTGGGCGCCCCAAGGCAATATCGGCCAGCCTATTTTCCGATACACCGCGTGTAGTTTGTTGGGTGTACATAGGTATACACGTGCAGGTTACAAAGTGCTTTGTCCGCGAGGCAACGATGATGATTAATGACTTTTTACGTTAAACCGATTAATAGTTCACCGGGTTATTGGAAGGATATATATACATATGTGCCTGCATGTAATACGTTTAAGGACTCGTTGCGATGTGTAATACATAAACACGTCGTTTTCAGCCTTTTTGTTTTGCGCACGGGGGGGTTGGGACTGCGTTATCTTCCCGCGGTGTACGATGGCTATTAAATCGCAATTTTCGAAGGCAATCACGGGTAATAGTAGCGGTAGCGATTTTTCGAAATCCCTTCCTATACATGCACACACACACATATGTATATATTTATATGCCTACACTACATTATTATTACACCCTTCGCGGACGCGTCCAGTTTCATATGCAATTGGTAGAAAATTAATAGCGTTTTTCCCCCGATAGAATCCCACAATCTGCGTTGGCTCGAAAATTGACGAAAAATTCGCCTCGTTGCCTCTCGCAGCTACTATACGTGTATATAAATATACAGCTGAAAGTGGAGAATTGCGCAATGCAAGTACCATCAAACGGAGGGGGAGGCTATTATTTAAGGTTGCATTGCATGTTGTACCGGGAACGAAGAAAAGTAACAAAACGCTCTTCTGTCTCGCTCGCTCGAAGAGCAAAAAAACTCCAGAGAGACGAAATCGAAGCCGTGAGACTCAAATTACCAAAGGTATACTTGCAACGTCTATGTTCGTCTCTCTATATATGTATACGTATACGTATATACATTTGTGGTGCCGTTACCGTCGCCGTTCTTGTCAATTTCCATAAATCCTCTCATTGTTTTTTTTTTTTTTTCTCCCTCCTCCTCCTCTCTCTAATCGGCACAATAATGCAAGCTTGGATGCATGTATGCACGTAGAGTGTGAGAACGACCACTCGCATGCTTGTACGGACGAATAAATTAGAATATGAAATCGCAGACGGACTGGCAGACAGACGGAGCCTTTTTTGATTGTCACCCGCGCATACCGTGCATCCCCTACCTATATACACGTAAGGAGCCTTTTTTTTTTTTTTTTTTTTTTTGTTTTTTTCAAACCAAGCGGAAGAGAGACCTGTCGTCCACTTTTTTGTTACCTCATATACTAATCGAGAGATCGTGTGTATACAATGCACATAAAGTGTTTCAGCACGCGTGCGCGTGTATATAAATATATTGCACGNCGATCTGCGCGTATAATATGTAGGTACTACCTATATTACAAGTTTGCTCAATCAAGGCGAGTCGGTCCTAAAACGGGTGTATATATATATATATAGGAAAACACGACAGGCGCGAGTTACGCGCGACAAAAATTTCGACAAAAATCCTTAAAAAACTAATCGAGAGATCGTGTGTATACAATGCACATAAAGTGTTTCAGCACGCGTGCGCGTGTATATAAATATATTGCACGCAAGAGGCGCTCTCGGGTGTCTCGGTCGGGTGCGCTCGCGCGAGCGGGAGAGGGCCCTCCGCAAGCGCCGAGAAATCGCGAAAGGCCACTATATATACACACACACACACAAGTTGCACGCTCTCTAAGAAATGCACTTTTGCGCCTTACGCAACGCAATAGGAGTTTCTCCCCTGGTCCGTCTCGTTCGTTGCTTCTTTTTGTCCATATACACACACGCGTGTGCGGTTTCACCGCGTGGAAACTCCACCATATTGCCCGGTACCGCCCCCACCTTTTTCACCCCGACACCTCGTGGATTGTACTAGCGGTGCGCGGGTGCATTATCGGTTTTTCGCGCGAAAGTGCCCCGTGTTTGTTTGCGTGTTCGCGGGATGGGGGAGATTTTGCTTGTGCGATTCAATTAGCATATAGGTACGGCTTTTTTTTTTTTTTTTTTTTTTTCTTTGCTGTACGTTTCGGGGCCCCGTGTACCTTTTGACTGATTTTCGATTACGCGGAACGGCGACGGGCCCGGAGCTTTTCTCGGTGAGAATGAACGCACGCGGTGGCAGGGGGGGGTAGAGTGTGTTTTGTTTCAGATTTATTTTCGTTTTTTTTTTTTTACCCTAAGTAGTCTTCATTACCCTTTTCAACGAGCTGTAATCATAAATTGTGAAAGCTACTGCAGTTTTTCTTCCAAAAATATATGTACGGATAACTTTGCCGTATATATATATATATAGGTATAGGTGTGTTGTGTTATTGTAAATCCAAAATGACGCAATACGCGCTGATTGTACACACGTGTACAGGTATATAATGGGCATTACATGGATTTTCACGCAAAGTGTACATTACACACACGCATAAGCGTTTTAATATTTCATGCGATTTCATTAAACGATTGTATATGACGTGCACCACCTCCTATACGTATGTATACAATACAAGTGTAATATACGAACGCGTAACAAGCTACAATGTAGGTACACCGTATAGGCAGCCGAGCGTGAAATTTCCTGCTAATATACAATCACCCAATTATTAGGAAAATCCGATATTTTTTTGATTATTTATTTACCGTGTGCCGCCTACTCCGTGTATGTACATATACTTGGGTGCTGTTTTATGGGAACGCGAGCACCTTAAAAATTACGCCCGTACCTGCACATGCACACGCGAGCGCGGTTTATTCGAGACAAAAAAAAAAAAGAAAAAAAAAAAAAAAAAGAAATTACTATACATATGCGTGTGCATGCGAATAAAAATCGTCCCAATGTATGGCACGTAATCAAACGAAACGCGTTCTAATAGAGAAAGTCCAATGGTATATCCGCGATCAAAACCAAAACGACACTTTCGCATCGGCCGAGAGAGAGAGAGAGAGAGAAAGAGAGAAATAAACTTATATTATATATGCGCGTGCAAGTATTTTTTGTTATAATTACCTTGGTTGCATTTATTTTCCGTTTTTTAATCGCTTCCCTTATTTCGCGCTGTACATGTATACATGTACCGTACATTTTCACTTTCGAGGCTCCCGCGGAGAGTTCCGAGTCGCGCGTTTTATAATAACCGGGCAAAGGAAGCGAGTCAGAGCCACGTATATATACCGGGACGACGATGACTTTCGGTTTTCCACATTATATATTATGTGTGTAGGTAAAACGTACATTGTGCTCGAAAAAATCCAAATATGACGTCACAATGGACGTCGCGGGTGTGCATTATTTGGGTTCCCTCTCGTTCTCGTGTGGCCGTTTGTTGCACAAGTGCGTGTGTATGTACACAAGAGTAACATTTTCGCACGAGGAAGGGAGAGAGGAAGGAAAGCGCAGCGGCTGGAATTTTAATGAGCTCCTCTGAATATTCATAATGCACAATGAGAGCGAAATCTTGCCGCCGATGGGTCTCGGCTTCTTCTACTGTATACGCAACATGCACGTGTATGGAGCACACGTATAAAGTAATCGTAAAAAGATATCGAGAGACGATGCTTTTTTTCTCTCAAATAGGTATACAGTTTATAGGCTCGACTAGCCGGATCTTGTCACCTTTGAAATTTCATTATTTCTTTTTTTTTTTTTTTTTTTTTCATCAAAAATTAATACACTTTTTCCACTAGAAACGTTTACGCGTGCATATAATATATCGTATGGTGAGGTGGTTTGAATAAAAGCGGAATTATATAAATTAACCAGTTCGAAAGACCGAAACTTTATGCCCGTCATAGAGTGACATTATATGTACCTACCTACATACATATACATATAATGGAGCCTCGAGAGCTACACTCGGTTGGTTTTTCGTAATTTCGTTCGGTTTAGGTGTATCGAGTATCGTTGATTTTTCTCGGCTCTCTGCGTACACGCACGTGAATGAAAATCATACTACAGACGTCGGACCTATAAAGAGGCCTCGTTGCATATACGAAGGCGTTTCAATTCTTTGATTCCGATATTTTATATTATATCGTACACGTACAATATACTTTTAACTATATTATATATAGATATGAGCACGCGTGATTTAAAATGGGTGGAGATGTATGTATATAGGTACTGCGTACGCTTATTTGTTAATAACATATTGGATGGATGTAATTGACTCGATCTGCGCGTATAATATGTAGGTACTACCTATATTACAAGTTTGCTCAATCAAGGCGAGTCGGTCCTAAAACGGGTGTATATATATATATATATAGGAAAACACGACAGGCGCGAGTTACGCGCGACAAAAATTTCGACAATAATCCTTAAAAATGATAGAGAGCGAAAGACAGAGAGAAAGGTAAGTAAGCACACAATAATGGTAAATATATATACATGTATATACCTACCCAATAACAACAACAGCGTGCCTTTGAATTTAAAATAAATGAGCGTCGTCGCGGTGCAGCTGCGAATGCGGACAAGAGCGTATACATATATATAGGTGTATAGCGTGACGCGAGTATACGTGGTGGCCAGTGCTATTATCAGCACCACCAGTTTTCTAGGTCCGCCCCGGCGTACCTTACGTTTTAATGATCCAAATACGAGATAAATCTCTCTCTCTCTCTATGGGGGTACAGTAGTACCTATGCATATATATAATCCGTGGAGCTGTTGATACGCCGGGCTTTGTTACATTGGAAGGTCGGACACGCTATTTTCGATGTACCTATATATAGTACATAATAGGCAGCAGAGGTATAATATACCGATAGAGACCCAATCACTCGTACTTATCGTTTAAATTTTTGCCTCTCCCTGCATCACGCGCCCCCGACACGCTACTGCAGACTCCCCCGTAACCACCATAAAATCAACATAGGTATGTACCTCATAAGTATACTGTCCTCAAATGATATCCTAATTCCTTGTCGATCGTGTATACTATACACACGTATATTGCGTGGTGCTGTGTGATTGCTTATAATTTACAATACGTATAACCTATATAAATATATAATTGCGCGTTTCAAAATTTTTTACCTGTATACGTATATAATAGGTACGTGGTGTACCTATACGTATTACATGTATACATTTGTATGTATATGTATATACTTATACCCAATACACAGAGGCGTGAGAAATGAGTCGCGGCTGTTCACTTATTCTCTGGATCGAGCTGGAAAATCAATGAAATCAGATTTTCGAAAGAAGGCGGAATCGGCGCTCTCTTTTCTCCCCCATTCCCTGTCCCGCCCTCTGCACTCTTCTCTCTCGCTCTCGTTTCTCATTGCAATTATTCTGATAATGGAGATTACATTATATATATATATATTATATTGTACACATGCATACATGTATATATATATATACTTATGCCCTGGTATTACGTGTTGTTTTCCTCTCGCGCGACGCGGATACTCGAAATGTACCAATATTTATACCATAATAATATACGCTTCCATGGCCAGTGATGTTTGTACATACACCCAAGTGCGCATTTTCACAATACGGGCTCCAAGGATGTAGTTACATTGGTCCATCACCCCTTCTTCTTTTGTCATACTTCACTATGCGAGTAAAAGTACCGATTTTTAATACATAGGTACACGTATATAAGTAGTATTAAGCATTTGTATATTTGTTTGCGTATACGACGCAAAACTTGTTGTATTGATGGAGCAAACAATTGCGAAAACTGTAATGCGTATGTGTAGGAGGAACACGTAATATGTGCACGTGTCAATGAAAAAAATTATCTGTTTGATTTTAACGTGATGGAAGGGATAGGAAGAATAAAAAATCTGATCGACGATATAAAAATGCTTTATTTTCTAGTTTTGTTCCGCGATACCTATACCTACATCCGGTTGTGTCCGTTATAATTATACTGGATACTGGACGCGTGTAATACCGATTCGCATACACCTACACTTATACGTATTGTGGTATTTTGGTAT